TCGTCGGTGGTGTTCACTCTGATTTTCACTTCTACATTTGAAGTGGTGAATTTTTTTTTTATTTTTTATTTTGGTGACTCAAGTTGAAGTCCCACTCGAGATCCTACTACTTTAGTTCCTGGGTATCTGAATTATTGCTGTGTGTCACCATAAGTTGCCTAAATATTTATATTTAAGAATCACTTGGGGCAGGGGGCTGGAAAGATAGCTCAGCAGTTAAAAACACTTGCTGGTTTTGCAGAGAACTCGAGTTCATTCCCTGTACCCTCACTCTGGTCATGTCTTTTCCATCTCTACTTGAGCCTCTTTAAAATTCTTAGTTTTTTGTTTGTTTTGTTTTGTTTTTAATTTGCCAGGCATAGTAGTGCATGCCTATAAGCCCAGCACTTGGGAGACAGAAGTAGGAAGAAAACAACACAAATTCCATATCAGCCTTGGCTAAAGAGCAAATTCCAGGTTAGCCTGGGTGGAATGGGACCCTTCCAAGAACGAAACCAAACCGAAGTGTTCTTTTTTCTTCTTATGAGATAGAACACCTATCTCCATGGGGTTCTAGTTATCGCCTCTCCTCTAGTTGCCTGCTTGACATTATCCCTTCAAGGACTTGACTCCCCTCAGTGATGTCTGCTCTGCCTTGCCTCCTCCCATCAGCACCTGTGCAGGCCAGCCTGATGTGGCCTCAGAATCAAGAGAGGAAGAAAGATATTACTTCTGCACTGGTTTAGTGGGGAACAAGGTGTTCTTTGGAGCCTCCAGGCTGAGATGAAGTAGGAGAGACTTCTAGAGTCTCCAGACAGTCCCTAAATGAATGGGGAGGGTGTAGCACTGTACTGTCTGTTCTACAAGGGCTCCTGGTCAAGAGACATCTTTTTCCTGCACCAGACAGAACCCTGCCACTCCTATAAACTTGGATCTGAATCCCATCATCAAGCTCTGCAACTTCATGCACACATTTGACCTCTCTGAAATTAACTCACTTTCTTCGTCTGTAAGACAGGGGAAAATGTCTTTGTCCTAAGTTACTCAAGGAGCTGGTAAGACTTTGATGAGAGGACAGCTCTGACTTGGTGTTGACAACTAAAAAACTCCTTGGAAGTACAGGAGTTATGAAAGAAGTGCTGGGAGATGGCAGCATTTGTCGCTGAGGTTGTAGGGAGAAGGCTGGTGAAATGAATTTGCCACCACCCAGTATATCCAGGGCAGAACTTCCTGGAGAAAAAGGACTTGAGTATTGGGGGGAAATCACATTAAAAACACAGAGAACAGCCACAACCTCTAGGGCATGCATTCCCAGGAGCTGATCTCCCAAACACCAAACTAGGAGAGTAAAGGGAATCTTACCAAGAGAAAAAAAGACAGCAGAGGGGATGCTGAATCCATTCCTCTGTCCCTCCAAACCAATCACCAGAGGAATGAGATCAAAGCACGCCTGGTAAAGGCCATAAAGACCTTGAATATGTTTTTAACTTGTGAGACTCATTCTTAACTCTATGCAGACGTCCTGATTTCTCCCTCTATTTCTAAGTCATGAAGTCCATTGCATTAGCAAAAGATTAGAATTCCAGTGTTATCAAGGAGCATCGAGGAAAGAAATATACATATACAGGTTTATGTAAGAGCCAAGGAAGCAATACAGAAAGGAGATGTGTGCTCCAGACAACAAAAAGGAAATGGAAGGAGGTCATCCTGAGTGTGTGACTGCAGTAAGTGATTAAGATGATAGAGAAGACTGAGCCATCCACTAAGAAGGACATAATGACCAGGCATGGTGGCACGCCCCTTTCGTTTCAGCAGTGGGGACACGGAGCTAGTTCCAGGACAGCCAGGACTACACAGAGAAAACCTGCCTTGAAAACAAAAAAACAAAACGAAACAAACCAAAAACCCACAAGAGATATTGGACTGATTATTTTCATATTGCTGTGACCAAAATGTCCAACAGGATCAATGTGAGGAAGGAAATGCTGGTTTTAACTCATGGTTTCATAAGGCTCTCTGCCCATGGTTGCCACAGTGCATGGTGGAGGACAGCTGTTCATGTCTCAGTGGACCAGAAAGCAGGGAGTATGTTGGAACCATGGGCTAGCCTACAGCATCCAAAGGCCATACCGAGAGAGAGACCTGCTTTCTAAAGCTTCCTGAGTTGCTCTCAAACGAAACGCTGGGTAATCAGCATTTAAAAGATGAGCATGTAGGGAGACATTTCCCATTTAAACCATAACAGACCCTCTAGACCAGCTCTGTTCTTAGGACTTTATGATTAGATGAATCATTCTTTAGAAGTGAGCAGGGATGTTTGCATCTTCATTCTCGAATCTGGGGAGTAACAACTGTTGTATTTAATGCCAACATTTTCCCCTGTTTGGCAATAATTCCTTATCCCCAGGCCATTGCACATTCTTCATGGCAGCTGCCTGGTTGGTTCCGACTGTGGAGCACAGCAGTACCTCTCATTGTGACTAGATAATGTTAACTCTAGATTCCTTAATCGCAAAGATCAGTCAACAAAGAGCTCCCAGTCTGATGACTGGAGAGTCATTAGACAACATTCCTGTTTTTTTGTTTTGTTTTGTTTTGTTTTTAAATAGAGGGGAAGCTGTAGCCCAGAGCAGTGGCTTGCCATGTGGCAGGGAAGGGAAAGCCAGAGTCAAGAACTCTGACATAGATGCCATGTAGGGGTGTTTCTTTGATTGTTGTGACATTAGGCTCCTTATGAGTGCAAGATAGAGGTGTGCTCCTGGATGCTGCCTAGGACAGGGCTTATTCCTAGTGGTCACCTGCAACACTTAACAGTTTGTGGGTCTTAGTTCACCCGAGTCTTTTTTTTTTTTTTTAACTCTTTTGGAGGGGCCTGCCACCCAGCTCCTAAATAAATCACATATAAACTTACTAGTACTTAAATGCCCAGCCTTAGCTCTTTTCTTAAATTACCTTTTGCCTCTGGGCTTTGGCCTTTCTCTATTTCTGTATCTCTTTTCTTCCTTCCTTTCTTTTTCCATGTCTGGCTACGTGGCCGGGTGGCTGGCCTCCTCTTTTCTCATTCCTTGGTCCCCTCTTGCCAGGTTTCTCCTCCTATTTATCCTCTCTGCCTGCCAGCCCCACCGATCCTTTCTCCTGCCTTGCTATTGGCTGTTCAGCTCTTTATTAGATCAATCAAGTGTTTTAGACAGGCAAAGTAACACAGCATCACAGAGTTAAACAGATGCAACATAAAAGAAAGCAACACATCTTTGCATCATTAAACAAATGTTTCACGGTATAAACAAATGTGACACCTTTGACTAATAATCTACAACAAGAGTCCCAATGCAACTGCCTTTATTATAGTTCTTCATTAAGAAGAATTGAAATATTAGCCAAACTATTCTATTTCTTATCCAGTTATCCAGGATCTAGTTATCCAAACTCATCCCACTTCAAGGGGCTTATAGGTCCATGACGGGCACTCACCAAGACTGAAGGATGTTTGGAAGCCCACTGAGGAATCATGCTATTTAGGTCTGAACCCTGCCTCTCCTTTCCTCTGAGTCCCCATCCTGAGGGGATTTATGTAGGTAAAAGAACACTGTGCCACCTCTCTTTCTTTCCTACTTCAAGCCACTGCGATTTCTTTTGCCCATCCTGCTTCTCAGCATTTTCATATAAAGTGATTAAAACTGTCAACATGCTTGCATTCTGGCAAATTAAACATTTGTAATGTCTAATTTTAAAATACTACTCCATATGAAATGGTGGGGTCAGATTTTTGTTTGTTTGTTTTTTAACCCTATGGGATTTGACCATTCTAAAGAATGCTCTATGTCCTAAACCACTATTCTATTTTGGGAGCAATAGACGTGCAGTCAGGAGGAGCTGGGCACTCTAAGGAGGAAATTGTATAGAAAAGCTCACTATTAAGTAGTATTTGAATGCAAAGAAGATTAATATCGATAAAGGGAAGGTATGGGCACTTAACAGATGACAAATGGCACCCTCACTGCCACCGAGAGAACAAACTTTGAGCTGAAATGGTACTTATGGGAAATAAATGAAAACCTCAGATGTTTTAGTCAGGAAGTCTCATTAGGATGCAACACAGAGTCTCATTATGGGTTATTATATGGTGTCACTAAAAAGGGGAGAGACATGTGAGAGGGAGAAGGCACAACCACATAACAATCTTGCTGTGTCTGGCTCTGATTTAATACAGCAACATCTGATGCTGTCCTGTCATCAAAAATGACTCTTCTGTGTGACAGAGAAGGGAGTGATTTATACCGAAATGACAGCTGTTAGGGCAAAACTCTTCTGATATATATATATATATATATATATATATATATATATATATATATAATATTGCTGAATTACTCACTCACTCAGAAGTATTTATGGCATACTAGGAAGACAAAACCAATAAGGCATTATATTTTTCAAGGGTGTCCCAAGAAGATAGACATGCTAGCAAACCACTGCAATGAGTGTGTGCATGTAGGGGGCTTCATCTGACAGATGTGCACCTTCAGCAGCTGTACAGACGGAGCCTAGGGAGGCTTGTGGAAGCAGAAATAGAGGATGAGTTTGTGTATCAGGTAGGCAGAGGTGGGGAGCTGAGGAAGCCTTCCAGTGGGAGGTGCCAAGTCTCTAGCTGCGAGACACCCTGAATCCCATGTGGATCTCAAGGCATCTGCTTTAATTGTAGGTAGGGTGCTTGTGCTTGGCTTCTCAGCTCCCTTCTCTGTGGAGTAAACGGAGCGAGCCACACTGTTACAGGCTGTTAAGAGCTGTGGCTGTTTGCTTCAGTAACAGTGCTGGCTCTCAGGCCATCCCCCTGCCCCAACGCTGAAAGTGGGTCACTGCCAGGTTGCAGGTGTTCCTGTTGCGCTGCCTTTCCTGAGGCAGAAACCCAGAGCTGAGATTCTACAGCTTTCCCCAGAATTGCACAGGGTTGGGATTTGTACCCAGATGCCTTGGCTCTGTCTATGTTTTGACCACAAAGCTCGTGTCTTTTTTTTTTTTTTTTTTTAATGGAACACTTCATTTAGTTTTGTGTCATCCTCGTGCAGGGCCCATGCTGGTCTTCTCTGTATTATTCCATTCTTTTAGTATATGTAAAGCCGAAGTGAGCACAAGCTTTTATGTCATGATGTAGCCTGGGAACCTAAGTACTTGGTGGGCAGGTGGGGAGTGTGTGGAGATGAGGCCTGCAGCTGTAGTAAGGCACTAAGTCTTAACTGCCAGGTGTGGTAGTGCACACCTTTAACCCCAGTACTTGGGAGGCAGAGGCAGGCAGATCTGTGCGAGTTCCAGGTCAACCTGTCCTGTGTATTGAGCTCCAGGCCAATCAGGGCTATGTAGAGAGACCATGTCTTTAAAAAAAAAAAAAAAAAAAGTCACTACGTCGATAAGGAACAGCAGAGGAATCTTCAGGAGAGGGGACATGTTAGATTGTGTTTAGAGACTGCATCAGAAGGATGAAGGAGAACCTGGTGGAACAGGAGGTGTTACCACAACCCTGGTAAGAAGCAGTGAGACCGAGCCGGATAGGCTCAGTGGTTATGAGTGTATGAGTGTGTACTGCTCTTGCGGATGACCTGAGTTCCCAGTAGCCATGTCAGGTGACCCACAACACACACACACACACACACACACACACACACCACTATAATGAGTCTTTCTTTGTACTACCAGCCCCCAAATAATGACATGCAATTATGAAAGCTCAGCCTTGGCTTAGCCTTGTCCCACTAGCTCTTATAACTCAAATGAACCCATTTCTATTAACCTAGATTTTGCTTTGTGACTTTTTTCCTTTCTTCCATTCTGTATGTCCAGTTCCCTCCATGTCTCCTTGATGCCTCACAGTACCTCGGTTTTCTCCTTCTACTTCCTTTCTTTGTGCTTGGAAGTCCTGCCTATCTCTCCTGCCCAGCTATTGCCCATTCAGCTTTTTATTACACCAAGCACAGCAATACATTTGTACACAGTGTACAAATATCCCCCAAAATTTCCTGCTTTTTGTTTAAATAAAAAGGAAAGTTTTTAATTCTAACATAGTAAAACTATATATAGTAAGAACAATTATCAGGTAAGACTTACATTTACAATATCCAATCTATCTGTATCTGGAAAATTCAGAGAAAATGTTCCATTATCTATCCTATCTTGGTGAGTCCCAAGTTATGTACCTAGTTTATTTACCTTTTATCTTAACTTGTATTACCAACCCAAAACTATCTTTTTAGACTTAAAATATTTTCTTAGATAAACTTTTATGTCTCAGTCCTATATATTTTACATCTGTTATGTAAGTTTCTTTTCTGAATTTGGCAGCAAGGAAAACTGTAATTATAACTAACTTATCTTTAGCTCCATCAGAGACCCAAGAAGGATATATTACCTGAGTAAACAGGGAGCAAAAACTTCCAAAACTATAGAAACAAGAGAGACAACTGGCTGCCTAGACAGTCACCCAAGGTTCCTTTGAAACACTGAGGTATCCTTCTTCGGCCTATAGACCTAGAATATCTGACAAATTTTTCTGTGAAGCAGATTTTTTTTTCTTGAGACAGGTTTCTCTGTGTAACAGTTCAGGCTGTCCTGGAACTTGTTTCATAGACCAAGCTTCCTCTGCCTTCATGAGTGCTGGGATAAAAGGTGTGCACCACCACAGTCCTGGCTGAAGCAGGAATTTTGAAGGACTGTCCTACCTTGTCTTGGCAAAATCTGGCAGTCACTTTCTTTTTTTGTCCTGCTGGTCCAGTTTGGACAGCATACTGTCAGTAGTTGAAGCAAGGGCAGTTTTTTGCCCAGTGGCTAATTTTGTCATGAGAAAAGCAAACTTCATATGGAGATTCTTCAATGCCCATCATACTGTTTTGAAGTAGATTGGTGCTGCCAGGAGTAGATGTGTCTCACTGTCATGAAAAGCCTTAGGTTATTAAACATCTTAACTGTCATATTCTGTAGCTCTCTGAAGTGTTGAAGTCATTTGTCTATCTAAAATATATGTTTGACTGTGAAAACATACCTAATATGACTACATTTGATTATTGTAGATGACTACTAACCTGCATTTCATAATTATGCATTTTTAAATGAGCAGCATAGGCACAATATCTTAAACAAGAGTAGAAACATATATACAGTATAACAAAATAACTTTAATTTGTATCAATATACAAAAACCCATACCAATATAAAATATTTGAGACTATTGGTTATTTAAAAGTAGATTCAACCATCTGCCCTTTTATCCCATCACTATGTGCTCCTTTTTCCCTTGAGAAAGAGATAATTGAACCCAATCCCCAATGCTTAGTTTCCTCCCTTACTATGACCAGTAGCAATTTGTAGCCAACCCCCTAAATGATTACAAATATCCATATCTCACCAAATGGCCAAAAATTACCCACCCCACCTCTTTGGAACATGGGCATCATGTTCCTGCTGCCTGGGGGCCAATGGCATCTTTAGGGAACCCTAAGAAAATTGGGATAATGGCCAAGTCCTGAGAAAACTAGCTATATTATTTGTTGTTCAGTCTCTGTGATAGGAAAGTGTAGAGCTTATCTGAAGCTTTGACTGGATAGTCTGTAAGTCTGGACCATCTCAGCTAGCAGCTTTGAAATTGTTTTGGATGCAGTATTTTGAGGAAACTACAACAGAGGCATTCTGAAAAGCTGGATCATGTAGGCTACTTGCCTTTATTGGTGCCTGGTCTTTTTTTTTTTTTTTTTTTTTTTTTTGTTCTTTCTTTCTGAAAACACACAAACACATATATGTTAAATGTAACGTATACATCTGTATTAACACTAGTATGGAATGTTGGTGTGTACAAGTCAGCTAAAGATAATTTAAAAAAAATGTTTGAGCAGGAAAAGGCATCTGTCAACTTCATAAATCTGTTTGGACTGTATAACCAAACCTCTGTCTTTGCCATATGAAAGCATGACATGTAATAGTAAGTCATGAGGATTTTGTAGTCAACAAGATTTATCATGTCTCATCCATTCTCAGAGCTATTCCCGGTCAAGGGATCTTCTTATACATCACCTGTTAACGATGCACAGATTAAGATACACGGGAGGAGGATAAAATATGGGTTACATATTGTATTCTGGGAGAAGTCACTTCCATGAGAAACCAATGACCTGCAAGTTCCCTCTCCAATGATCCACACCAACCAAGAGATTGAGCTGGAGTCCAGGACCCCAGACCAACCTACCCCATCAAGTCTACACCTGTGGCCATGTCCAAACCAGTGCAACAGGTGCAGGCAGGGTGGATATCTCACTACAACCTGTCTTGTAGTTTTTCTTGGTTTATTTCTTTATGTCTGTAGCAATGATTTCCAGAAGGTCTCCCCCAATCAAATCTGGTCTTTATTAATTTTTAAGAAATCCACAGCTTTTCATTTTCCTGTGGAAACAAAAGTACAACTTCTCCCCCAATGCAATACATTTCCCAGCTTACATTCTGAGGCAGAAGCATCCCTAAAGTATATAGGCTGGTTTAATTCAGGAGTCTCTTAGGAGTCTCTTTCATAATCCAATGTCTCTCAGCAGCAGTTTTTTTCCTTTTCTTTCTTTCTTCTCTGTTCTTTTTTCTTTTCTTTTTTCTTTTTTTGTTCATTATCATTTTAAAAAATCCAGTGCCAACAAAGCAGCATATAGGATCAAGATGCCTGTGTATTTGCCATCTTTATGTGACATTTTAAATTATTACTTCACTCTCTTTTTTTAAAGATTTCACTTTATTATCTTTAAACTATTTTATGACTATCTATACCCATTTTCTTTTCTTTAGCACCTAAGCACATTTTTCAGCACACTGTATCCATTTAGAGGTTTTCTCAGTTTAGACCTGACTCTGTGAGGCTGCAGCATTTTCTGACCTCAAGACCAATCTTAAACTGCTAAGGAGCCACTCTGTGGCTCTAGCTGCTGGCCACGCCCCCTCTCCCAGGTTCTCTGAGGGCCTGGCTTCATGTCAGTGGGTACTCGGGGTGGGGGTGGGCTTTCTGCCTGAGCTCTGGGAATTTGTTGAGTCTGAGCGGCAGGCACTTTTACCCAGTGTGCTAGCTGCTCCAATGCTCTGCTGCACAGCAAGGCCTCGTGAATGAGCCATGTTTCTGAGTGCTAAGAGCAGCTGGCTATGTGTGTGCATTGGGTACCCATTGTAATGAGTCTTTCTCTGTACTGCCATCCCCCAAAGAAGGACGAGGAAACTTCCTATTGATTACGAAAGCTCAGCCTTAGCTTAGGCTTGTCCCACTAGCTCTTATAACTTAAAATAATGCACTTATATTAATCTACATTTTGCCTTGTGGCTTTTTAACATTCATTCTTTATGTCCAATTCCCTCCATGTCTTGTTGGTGTCTCTCTGTACTTGATTATCTCCTCCTACTTCCTCTCTCTGTGTCCAGAAGTCCTGCCTATACTCCCTGCCTAGCTATTGACCATTCAATTTTTTTATTACACCAACCACAGCAATACATTTTCACACAGTATGCAAACTGTATGGTACACGCCTATAATCCCAGCACTTGGGAGGTAGAGGCAGGCAGATCTCAGTGTGTTTGAGGTCAGTCTGGTACAAAGTGAGTCCAGGACAGTCAGAGCTGTTACACAGAGAACCCTTGTCACAAACAAACAAACCAAAGCAAACCAAAACCACCTATCCCACAATACACAATCCTTAAACACACACACACACACACACAGGTTATAAACTGACGCAAAGGCAATAGGATGAAGAGTAGGAGTAGTGTGTGAGAGATGTCAAGGAGACAGGGTGGGCGGGGCCTAGTGATCACTAGGGATGAGGTACAGGAAGAGTAGACGTAGACGTCCCTTTGGCTTTGGTGCCTGTGAAGGATGACACCACCATAAGAAGAGACAGATAAGCATAGTTCAGGAGAAAGGTATGAGTTTGTTCTTGTTTCTGTTGAGCATGGGGCCCTGGGGCGGGGGGGGGGGGGGGGCTTGCCAGAGGTGTTCAGGCAGTCATTTATGTGTCTGGGGTTGGAGCACAAAAGAGTGCCTGGACTTGGGTCACCAGTCCATAGAAGCCAGATGCATTAAGACAATGTGTTCTCTTATGTAATTTAGATCCCAGTACATAC